GACAGAAGGTAACCTACTGTCCCCACAGCCAGGTGAGAACAGGTGAGAACAGGTGAGAGTTATTACTGACATTAAAGAGATCCTCCTCCCTAAATTGTGTTCATCTGTAAACTATATTATATTATAATGCTTCTGTTAATATTCACATTATTACCAAAGTTATTAAAGTGTCTCAACACGCTGTCGACTGTTTGAAATCAAGCTTAGCTACGACACTGCTGTTAGCTCTGTTAGTGCCGTTAGCTCAAAGATACAATGCAGAGAAATGTATCAGTATAAATCACTGAATATATCGAGTATTTCATTAGTTTGGTTATGTGAAGTGTCACCTGTACCTGAGTCAAACCCTCATCCATCAGGTACCTGTGTGTAGTTGTTAATGCTACAAACTACTTCAACAGCTCACCTGGGCAGGTGAGGGTTGCTCTCTGCACTGTGTGACTGTACTCGTATCCTGCAGGTACATTGTGGGGACGTTGGACCTGATGGTTTCAGAGAACTACCTGCTGGTCTACCTGTGTGCCATGGCTCCCAGAAACAAACTGCCGGCCATCAAATGGCTCCACCAGTGCTACACCTCCATCGACAGGAGGTAAGATAGGTTTGCTCAGTAGGGCAGCACAGTGGGGTGGAGCTGTCACTGTCATTGTTAACAGAGTTTCTGTGTCTGTTCAGGCTGAAGAAGGACCTGAAGGGACTGCTGGTCGTCCATCCTGCCTGGTACATCAAAGCCCTCATCACTGTGGTCAAACCCTTCATCAGGTCAGCAACACACACCTGTTTATCTAGGTAACCATAGCAACAGTCCTGATGCTCCAGGTGTCCACAGACTCACTCACATCCACTCCACAGTGCTCTAGCAACCACCACCATAGCAACCACTGCAAACACCCTAGCAACCACCTTGTCACTCAGACAAGCACTCTCACTCTCACCAACCACCTTATGATGCCATGGCAACCTTCTGAAATGCCCCAACAACCAACTACTAAAGCCTTAGCAACCATTCAACAACCACACCTGTCGACTACCTAAATATACCTTTAAGGATTTGTTTACCTCTTTGAACAACGCGGTGACCACTAAGCATCTGTCCAGTGTAAACTGAGCACTCTGTAACATCTGGGCAAGAAATACCAAAACAACACATTAGCACATAAGTTAAAACCAACTTCCAACCACACAGGAAACCCTGTCCACTAAATGCTGCACACTATCATCTGCAGTTACCAATGTCGAGCGTGTTAACCTGGTAGCAACCAGCTAACTCCAGAGGTAGCAACACATTAGCTCCCTCCAGCTAATATGTTAGCAACCACCTAGCAACAGGAGATAGGTGGGACTCAGCAGAACGTCTTCACAGAGTTTCTGTCCACAGTGAGAAGTTCAGCAGGAAGATTCGGTTCATCCAGAGTCTGCAGGAGCTGTCACAGTTCATCCCCACAGACAGACTGCAGATCCCAGACGCAATACGCCAGTAAGAACCCAGTTCTAGTTCCACTGATCCTCCAACTATCACTGTTCTACTGACTGTATCTCCCTCTGGTGTTTGTTAAACTGGTCTCTTGTATTCCTGCAGGTTCGATGAGAAGTTGAACAGATGACGATCACAGTCTCAGACTAGATGGATCATAATGGTCCAAGGTCACCAGGAGCTCCAGGAGCCTCTCAGCCTGATGACCATTGACCTCCTTCCTGTACAGAAAAAAGCTTATTTATACTGTCTGTCTTTGAATTGGGGGGGGGGGACTCATTTCTGCTCCAAATGGATTTTAGTTTTATTGCAGTCCTGATAGTCCAGTTCCTGCTGGGACTCGTGTTCCTGTCAGGTTCCACACATTCAACTGTGTCTACCTGTGTCTACCTGAGTCTACCTGAGTCTACCTGAGTCTACCTGTGTCTACCTGTGTCTACCTGTGTCTACCTGTGTCTACCATAGTGTACCTGTGTCTGCCTGTGTCTACCTGTGTCTACCTGAGTGTACCTGTGTCTACCTGTAACAGGACAGGTAGATGGAGCTCTGGAGCTAGTCTGAGGTCTGAAGCTGCTGTAGAGCACCATGTTAATGTCTGATACGAGTGGGGATCCAGAGTTGAATCATGTAAATAAGGTGGAAGCACTTTCCTGTAAAATCCTGGAGTTTGGGTTTGTTGTTGTCCACCATTTGTAGTCTGTTTGATCTGAGCAGCTGAACACAGTAACAGCACATTAGTAAGTGTTTTACCTGTCGCACTAATGCACCTGTAATAAAAGCATGGATCAAACCTTCTTAACAAAATCACACCTATTGTTTTTTCTTTAGTTTACTTTACAAACAATCTGATCCTGAATAACTGAAAGTTCCTGTTTGAAGAGAATGTGTGAAAGATCAGATACAGGAAGTGATTTTATAAAATCAGACCCACTAATCAGTCTGAAAATGTTATGTTAGTTACTGATCAAACTTAATCTTTAGTTCATTATATTGTTTAAAGCTTCTCTATGTAACTGTCATTAAACTGCAGCTAACAGCGCCACCAGTGGCTGTTCAGTGAACTGCAATCGGCATCCTGTTGCATCATCCTGGGCAATCTGACAGTCATATTTAGAATAACCTTACTGGACTTTGTGTTGGACTCTGTGTTGGACTCTGTGTTGGACTCTGTGTTGTGGACTCTGTGTTGGACTCTGTGTTGGACTCTGTGTTGTGGACTCTGTGTTGGACTCTGTGTTGTGGACTCTGTGTTGGACTCTGTGTTGGACTCTGTGTTGTGGACTCTGTGTTGTGGACTCTGTGTTGGACTCTGTGTTGGACTCTGTGTTGTGGACTCTGTGTTGGACTCTGTGTTGTGGACTCTGTGTTGTGGACTCTGTGTTGGACTCTGTGTTGGACTCTGTGTTGTGGACTCTGTGTTGGACTCTGTGTTGTACTCTGTGGTGTGGACTCTGTGTTGTGGACTCTGTGTTGGACTCTGTGTTGGACTCTGTGTTGGACTCTGTGTTGTGGACTCTGTGTTGGACTCTGTGTTGTGGACTCTGTGTTGGACTCTGTGTTGGACTCTGTGTTGTGGACTCTGTGTTGGACTCTGTGTTGTGGACTCTGTGTTGGACTCTGTGTTGTACTCTGTGGTGTGGACTCTGTGTTGTGGACTCTGTGTTGGACTCTGTGTTGGACTCTGTGTTGGACTCTGTGTTGGACTCTGTGTTGTGGACTCTGTGTTGGACTCTGTGTTGTGGACTCTGTGTTGGACTCTGTGTTGGACTCTGTGGTGTGGACTCTGTGTTGGACTCTGTGTTGTGGACTCTGTGTTGTGGACTCTGTGTTGGACTCTGTGTTGTGGACTCTGTGTTGGACTCTGTGTTGTGGTGGGTGTTGGTCGTTTGTAGCCGTTAGCAGACTCCATTTATAAACTAATGTTAGCTAGTGTTGCCCACTGTTGGCACTGTAGGGAAGCGGAGAGAGAAGGCACTCGGGAGCATAAAGGTCACAACCTTTGACCCTCTGCTAAAAGGTCGAAGGTCACACAGTTATGGCAGAGTCTGAGCCTGAGTTTATATAATGACAATATTGACAGTTTATATATACCCTATATAAAGAACTGCAGTCTCTCTAACAGCCAGCAGGGGGCAGCTCCACTCTGATAGTATTGAGTCTTATGGAGAAGTTGATTTATGAGCTCAGTAAACAGTTTCCTGAAGAGTTTCTGGTCTCAGTCTCTAGTTTCAGTCTTCTTCCATACAGCATGATGTTCATTTAGTAACTGATGGTCCCATTTAGAGTAAAACAGACCATAAAGCAGGGTATGCTTTAGGGCGGGGCTACCTTGTGATTGACAGCTCATTCTCAGTGAGTCCGTCCAGCTCAACCAAACTCAGATCAAACTGTCAAACAGTGCTGATCAGATATGGATCCAGATTCTGTTGTTGACTATTTCTCTCCTCAGATCTGTTCACAAACACATTTTACTGTTTATCTGGAATACCAGATCCTGTGTGAGCAGGAGAGCCGCCAATGACAGCAGCTCAACTCGCTGTACGTGACCTCTGCTGGCTGCTAAACACCAACATGGAGATGACCATAAAGCTCAACTGGAGGTTCAGAGCTCCACAGACCGATGGGGGACCACAGAGTCTCAGTTGGTTATTCTGTCGCTGCAGGTGTGATTCATTTTATTGAACTATAATTAATAAAGTCACTTACAAACAGCATAAATATTCCAACAAATCTGAAGTTAAAACAAAAGATTTCTACACTTTTTTCTTCTTTTGTTGATTCAGGTGTAGTTTAGGTTTATATATGAATGTAATATGTGTGTGTGTGTCAGTGAGGCAGAGCTGAGTGTCGCCGTGGGAACCGTCTGCAGGAATCCAGCACATCAGTTACCATAGAAACTGTGTTTCCATAATAGAAACAGTCAGTGTGTGTGTGTGTGTGTGTGTGTGTGCGTGTGTGTGTCCTGCAGTAGTTTATTTTTGTCATCAGCACTTATAATGCTAATAATGCTAATAATGATAATAATGATGATGATAATGATAATTGTAATGTTCAGATAATAAAGGTTTCACATGTTTATCACGTGTAGTTTGTAACTCAGGAACATTTGACTGAATGTGTGCCAATGTGAATTAATTAACATGTTGACATTATCATGTGAACCTTTTAAAATTAAATAAAGAGACTGATTGATGGTTTTTTGATCAGTTTCGGACTGAATGCTAGCTGTAGTTAGCAGTAGCTAACAGTCTGTTTGCAGACAGTATTTCCCGAGATGTTATTAATGCTGCGTCGTGTGTCAGTAGATGTTATTAATGCTGCGTCGTGTGTCAGTAGATGTTATTAATGCTGTGTCGTGTGTCAGTAGATTGTTATTAATGCTGTGTCATGTGTCAGTAGATGTTATTAATGCTGTGTCGTGTGTCGTGATTGTTATTAATGCTGTGTGTGTGTCGTGATTGTTATTAATGCTGCGTGTGTGTCAGTAGATGTTATTAATGCTGTGTCGTGTGTCAGTAGATGTTATTAATGCTGCGTCGTGTGTCAGTAGATGTTATTAATGCTGCGTCGTGTGTCAGTAGATGTTATTAATGCTGCGTCGTGTGTCAGTAGATGTTATTAATGCTGTGTCGTGTGTCAGTAGATGTTATTAATGCTGCGTCGTGTGTCAGTAGATGTTATTAATGCTGCGTCGTGTGTCAGTAGATGTTATTAATGCTGCGTCGTGTGTCAGTAGATGTTATTAATGCTGTGTCGTGTGTCAGTAGATGTTATTAATGCTGCGTCGTGTGTCAGTAGATTGTTATTAATGCTGTGTCGTGTGTCAGTAGATTGTTATTAATGCTGTGTCGTGTGTCAGTAGATTGTTATTAATGCTGTGTCGTGTGTCAGTAGATGTTATTAATGCTGCGTCGTGTGTCAGTAGATGTTATTAATGCTGTGTCGTGTGTCAGTAGATGTTATTAAAGCTGCGTCGTGTGTCAGTAGATGTTATTAATGCTGTGTCGTGTGTCAGTAGATTGTTATTAATGCTGTGTCATGTGTCAGTAGATGTTATTAATGCTGTGTCGTGTGTCAGTAGATTGTTATTAATGCTGTGTCGTGTGTCAGTAGATGTTTTAGTGTGTCAGTAGATGTTATTAATGCTGTCGTGTGTCAGTAGATGTTGTTAAGCTGCGTCGTGTGTCAGTAGATGTTATTAATGCTGTGTCGTGTGTCAGTAGATTGTTATTAATGCTGTGTCGTGTGTCAGTAGATTGTTATTAATGCTGCGTCGTGTGTCAGTAGATGTTATTAATGCTGTGTCGTGTGTCAGTAGATGTTATTAATGCTGCGTCGTGTGTCAGTAGATGTTATTAATGCTGCGTCGTGTGTCAGTAGATGTTATTAATGCTGCGTCGTGTGTCAGTAGATGTTATTAATGCTGCGTCGTGTGTCAGTAGATTGTTATTAATGCTGCGTCGTGTGTCAGTAGATGTTATTAATGCTGCGTCGTGTGTCAGTAGATGTTATTAATGCTGCGTCGTGTGTCAGTAGATGTTATTAATGCTGCGTCGTGTGTCAGTAGATGTTATTAATGCTGCGTCGTGTGTCAGTAGTTTTAATGTTATTAATGCTGCGTCGTGTGTCAGTAGATTGTTATTAATGCTGCGTCGTGTGTCAGTAGATTGTTATTAATGCTGCGTCGTGTGTCAGTAGATGTTATTAATGCTGCGTCGTGTGTCAGTAGATGTTATTAATGCTGCGTCGTGTGTCAGTAGATGTTATTAATGCTGCGTTGTGTCAGTAGATGTTATTAATGCTGTGTCGTGTGTCAGTAGATGTTATTAATGCTGCGTGTGTGTCAGTAGATGTTATTAATGTTATGTCGTTGTGTCAGTAGATGTTATTAATGCTGTGTCGTGTGTCAGTAGATGTTATTAATGCTGCGTTGTGTCAGTAGATGTTATTAATGCTGTGTCGTGTGTCAGTAGATGTTATTAATGCTGCGTTGTGTCAGTAGATGTTATTAATGCTGCGTCGTGTGTCAGTAGATTGCTATTAATGCTGCGTTGTGTCAGTAGATGTTATTAATGCTGCGTCGTGTGTCAGTAGATGTTATTAATGCTGCGTCGTGTGTCAGTAGATGTTATTAATGCTGCGTCATGTGTCAGTAGATTGCTATTAATGCTGCGTCGTGTGTCAGTAGATGTTATTAATGCTGCGTCGTGTGTCAGTAGATGTTATTAATGCTGCGTCGTGTGTCAGTAGATGTTATTAATGCTGCGTCGTGTGTCAGTAGATGTTATTAATGCTGCGTCGTGTGTCAGTAGATGTTATTAATGCTGCGTCGTGTGTCAGTAGATTGTTATTAATGCTGCGTCGTGTGTCAGTAGATGTTATTAATGCTGTGTCATGTGTCAGTAGATGTTATTAATGCTGTGTCATGTGTCAGTAGATGTTATTAATGCTGCGTCGTGTGTCAGTAGATTGTTATTAATGCTGTGTCATGTGTCAGTAGATTGTTATTAATGCTGTGTCGTGTGTCAGTAGATGTTATTAATGCTGTGTCATGTGTCAGTAGATTGTTATTAATGCTGTGTCGTGTGTCAGTAGATGTTATTAATGCTGTGTCGTGTGTCAGTAGATTGTTATTAATGCTGTGTCATGTGTCAGTAGATTGTTATTAATGCTGTGTCATGTGTCAGTAGATTGTTATTAATGCTGTGTCATGTGTCAGTAGATGTTATTAATGCTGTGTCATGTGTCAGTAGATTGTTATTAATGCTGTGTCATGTGTCAGTAGATTGTTATTAATGCTGTGTCATGTGTCAGATGTTATTAATGAATTAATGTCATGTTTTCAGGTCTTTTTGCCAGTTTTTTGGTAGTTAAAAATACAGTTAATAATTATAAAAAAAGTAATTATAATTATAATGCAAATTATTTAATACTAGAATATTTAAAGTAAATGATTATATTGTTTGTTATTAACTGATTATGTATTAATATAATAATATGCAGTGTTTCACTGAGCAGTCAGACAG